GCCGTGAGGGGCGGAGCGCCGTGAGGGGCGGAGCGCCGTGAGGGGCGGAGCGCCGTGAGGGGCGGAGCGCCGTGAGGGGCGGAGCTGGAGCTTGTAAACCTGTGTTGGTTAGGACCGCAGCCCACCCAGAACTTCGGACCCGGGACTCCGAATTGAAGGTATTCTGGAAGTGGCCGCGGGGTGGAGCTAGTGTGCCTGAGCCCAGGTGAGGCACCTGGACTGCCAAGCGGCTGGCCGGAGCTAAGTCTCGGGAGGGCGAGGTTTAGTTTGCGTGTTTGGAGTGTCGCTCGTGGGAAGAGCAACCGTCCCAAACACCCAAGGTATTCCTCTGGGTTGCTAAGGAAAGCAGTGATAAAGCCTCAACACACAGGATGCGGACGGTGGGCTGGCGGGAGACCCGTGCTGGGAACCAGTCAGGGCTACACGAGAGTCTCCGCAGGGCGACCTGTGCCCCCGGGGATGGCGGGGAGTGCAAAGGTGGGAAGATCGTTCGCTGCAGGCACTGAGGCTTCGGGGCTGCTCCAGCTTATGCCCTTCGGTGGCATGCGCCCTGTGTCTGCATTCTGCCCTCTGCTCTTGCGTTCTGAAGCTGTTTTGGGGCCCAAAGAGGTAACTGTTTTGGCAGTGGGTGGGATTCAGACTACCTGTGTTCCTTCCCTCCTGGCCCTGCTGGTGACCAGAAGCTGCCAAAAGTCCTGTCTACTGAGTGCTGCACCAGCCTCCCTTCTCCCAGGGGTGGCAGAGCTGCATGCCCCAAGGTTCTTAAACCTGGCTTTGCCAATAAAAGGGAAACGTGAAGAGCCAGCAGGCCTCGCCATCTCTGTCCTCCACCCACAGCGACCAGCAGCATTCTAGCGGTGCCTGTTCTGCCGGTCTGGCCTTGGAACAAGGGAAACCAACAGAGCGGAGCCCACTGAGCAGCAGTGAACATGGACCTCTGTGGTCTTTAGCCACGGAGATCTGCTGACTTGTCTGTTAGCATCGCGTAGCCCTGCCTGGCACCACTGAGGCCTCTCAGCTCCTCTGGGCCTTGCCAGCTCTCTGAGGTCGAGGCCTGCACCCTTGAAGTTGAGCAGAGCACTATCCAAACGAGAGGAGCTCCTCCGCACTGTCTCAGGCAGCACACGGGATGGAGGGGCTGCTTCGGGAACCCGAGGAATCCAGGTTTTCTGGCCTGGATGAGCCTTGATGTCACCAGGTCCCCCGTCACCTCTCCGCCTCTCCTCTCTACAGCCCCTATGTGGCCTCAGGCTCCAACTGCTGACTGTCCTCCCCTAGGTGTGACACCGTCTGAGCCCGGTGCTGCAGAGGCGAGAGACCTCTCCCCCACCAGCTTCGGTGAATACTCCTAAAGAGACTGGTCATAGGCCCCTCCTGGGGAGGCAGGGGAGGGGAGGGTTACAGAATGATCTAGGGGAACAGAAGGAGAGGAGCACTCCCCAGAAGGAAGGGGCCCACAGGTCCCCCGCCAAGTGCACCCCATACCTGCGAGAAAAGAAGGGCCAGTTCATATCCCGCAGGGGAGTCTCGCGGCAGTTGCCTGAGAACCAGCGGTACAGTGTGTTCTCTGCTTTGGAGCTTGAGCGTGTTTGACTTTCTCCACTTATTTTTTTTTAAATCTGTTCTCTTTTTTTTTAATTCTTTTTTTAATCGTTTCTTTTTTTTGGTGGTGGGGCAATAATTAGGTTTATTTATTTTTTTAATGGAGGGGCTTCATGCATGCTAGGCAGGAGCTCTACCACTGAGTCATGCCCTCCTCCCTAGCATTCTCCACTTTTCACAAGCTCATCAATGACTTCTTTTACTTCTATTTGTCACAATTTCACTTTTTTTGCCAAAATTTTTGCCAAAACCCATTTTCCCCATTATGTAAACAGAATGCATTGCAGAAAGATTCGGAAATGGAGAAAGGTAGAAAGAAATCAGACTAGTCCACACCACATGGCAGAAATGTGCCTTTTAATTTTTTGTATCTGTACAAAGTTTTCCCACCAAATCTTAGGAATGGCCCACGTATGTTATCTCCCTTGGCCCTGTGACACTTCAGTGTGTATTTCCTACACTCAAGGATATTCTCTTTCGAAACCACAGCGCAGCTGCCCAACTGGGGGAAGCTGATGTCGACACAGCGCTCAGCAAAGTGAGGCTTCTAATCCTGCTCATGGCGTTTTCCCTGTGACCCAGGATCCCACCAATGATCATATCTTGCCTTTGGTTGCCACGTCTCCTTAGGAATCCATAGTGTGGCTCAACTCCTCAGCCATTCTTTTCTCCCCACAGATGGTTTCTTCATTGCAAGGGGGAGAATGGTAACCCCACAGCTGAGACACCAGACAACAACTGTGTAATCAGAATGATCACTGGTCAGTGAGGAGCTGACGGACACTATGTCCCTCCATGTGACACCCAGAGGACACAGCGTTGCAGGATTCCAACTGGAGGTGCACAACCTGGACGCCTCCAGGACAGGACGGGGACAGAATGGGCAAAGCCTCAGAGCGAGGCAGGAGCGGACCTGGCGTATTCTGGGCCTAGTGGCTGGTTTCACAGTTGGGGGAGTAGGAGGAAGAGGTGAGACTAGAGAGGCGGGTGGAGGCGAGGGGCCAGCGTCAGGCTGATCGAGGTAAGGCCAGCGGCCATCCATGCACTGGGCACTGCCGATGATGTGAAGCTCCAGGTTTCTAGAGAGCTGGCCTCTGTGGCCAACCGCGAGGCCCAGCCCCGCTGCGAGGGTGCCACACTCCCGCCCAGCACCTGTGCTTCTTTGTGGTGAGCGGGGTGGAAGCCAGAGTCCCAGATCTCCCTAGAGGGAGAATCTAGTAGAGGGACGTTGTCAAGGAGCAGGGGGCCGTGTCAAGGGGCTCTCTGGGCTGTGGGGTTTCCAGAAGTAGGTTAGAATGCGGAGGGACCACAGGAGTGAGTCATCCACAGGAAAGTGCTGGGAACACAGACCACTCGAGGACCCTCTGGAGACGTGCCACCCATAGCCCGGGCCCCAGGACACGTATCTATGCTGTAAAGGTTTCTCAGCCGGGATTCATCCAACACACGAGAGCATCCACTCTGCAGCAGACTCCAAGGCCGCATCCTCACCTCACCTGTGGGCAACAGAGAGCTCCCGGAAACACGTGAGCCTGGGAGCAGATGCTTCCCCGTGGAGCCCGCAGGGGAGACCCCAGTCCTGGCCAACACCTCAGCTGCAGCCTAGGAGCGACCCAGCACAGGACCCGGCTGGGCTGTGCTGGAAACTGAGATCATAAACGCGTGCCGTCTCAAGCCCTTAAGTGTGTGGTCATTGAAAACCGGCGTGAGGGAAACCAGGAGAAAGTGGCGTCCTCGCAGCCGAGGGGAGAAACTGTGTGGCCGGAAGAGCCGTGGTGTCGGCCCCGCCACTGCCGGAGCCCACCAGGAGCGCTAGGATTTCTGCGCGGCCTGTGGCTCATCCGGGGGATCCGCCTGCGGCTGCGAGGCTCCGGCGCGCGGGCCGGGGGTCCGTGGCTCCCTGCACTCGGCGGCCTTTCTCCCGGGGAGGGGTCTCCACGGTCCCTTCGGTCCTGCCCGCCTCTTCCCCCGGGCGCTGCCCCTTCCTCCATCCATCCGCTCACTGCGCTGTCAGCTTGGTCACCACACCCCGGGTTACTTCCCGGACCTCAGGCCTGGAGCTGGCTGTGGAGCCGGGTGGCAGGAGAGGGCCGGGGGCGGTGGTCCCAGAGGCTTGGGGAATGAGGACTTGCAGGGGGCGGGCGCGGGAAGGCGGTGGAACCGCTGCCCAGGGTCTCGCTCGCGCACTCAGGAAACCCGCCCCGAGACCGAGGCACGCCCCCCGCGGCCTCCAGGGCAGCTGAGTGCGAGGCCCTTCGGCGCCCTAGAGCGTCACCGGAAGTGCGAGGGGAGGGGGAGCGGCGCTTCCGGGGGGCGGCGGAGCTGCGGGCGAGTGGCGGCGGGCTCGGGGCCGGGAATTGAGCGACGGGAGAGGAGGGGAGTAGGGTCGTCTCCGGGCGGGACTCTGCGGCCGTTGTCTGTTCTGGGCTCTCCCCGCGGAAGGGCGAGCGTCCGGGAGGAGAGCGGCGGCGGGGCGCCGGCACTGCCCTCGGCCTTGGGGCGGCCTCGCGCGGTTAGTTCCTGAGGTGAAGTCGGTGTGACTTGAAGGCCTTTGTGAGCCGTCGAATTACCCGACAGCGCGGGCGGTTTCCCTCCTTCCGGCGGGGTGTGACGGGGCCTGTATCCCCTAATCTTGCGCGCAAGGTGCCGCTGGGGAGGGGGCACCGCGCGCAGGCGCTCCTGCCGCTGAGCCCTAACCCCCCGCCGCTGGTTTTAGGTCTTCGCTGCTTTCAGAGTGAAACCCATTTTAAATTACTTTTTAAATAGCAAATGAAGTAGGACAAGGTGGAGCATGTTTTGGGGGTTTTTTGTTGTTGTTGTTGCTTTTTTCATTTTGGGGAGACGAGATAATTATGTTTTTATTTTTTAACTGAAGTACGGAGGATTGAACCCAGGACCCCGTGCATGCTGAGCACGCACTTTACCTCTGAGCTCTACCCTCCCCCCTGGAACTTATGTTAAAAGAATATATTGGCTACTTGTTTTCTTCTGTGAGTTACGTGTCTTTTACAATTTTTCATGGTCTCATGACTATATAGTGGTTTTATATAGTTTATGTGTTATGAATCTTTATGTTGCATATCTGCCTCCCGTTTTGTTTTGTTCCTTTAAATCTTTTTTTTACTCTGAATACACCTGTGTCGTTAAATCTGTCAGACTTTGCCTCAGGTGTCAAGCTTAGCAGAAGCATTCCTCAGTCCACAATTGGATCATTCAGTGAATCTTTTTTTTAGTTTTATATTTTTATACTCAAATCTTTAAAATTATCAGATTTTTAAATACATAGAACTTTCTCCAGACATTTGAGGACTGATTGAAGGTGCTGATTGGTTCCCGGTGGAGCTGAGGCCACAGCAGGCGCTGCAACACTTGTCTTTGCTGGGAGTCTGTTGAGGCCAGGGTCGGGGGAGCCCTCATGGCCGAGACAGAGTTCCCGGAGGATGTCCCGTGGAACGCTAGTTTCTGGGGTGTCTGTTTATTCAGGACCTTGATTTCTAGTGAGGTGGCTCCTTCAGGCCCCCTTCTCTGATGGTACTCTGACCTCACCCCACTCTCTGTGACATTTTCTCCCCTTTCCATCTCTTTCACCCAGGCAGGTGTCCCCATGCTGGTGTTTCTACAGGAAGCAGCAAGCGGAGCCCCGACCTGGGTCTCCAGAACGCCACGGAGGGTGCTACCCTGATGGACACATGCACAGGTGAGGGGGACAGCCAGACCGGAGGACCGTTCTGGGGTCAGGGACTTGGGGACAGCTTAGGAACTGGGGCTCCCAAGTCTGGCTGCCACAGGGGTGTCATCAGGCTCGGGCAGCTTCCTACGCGTCACAGCCCCGCCTCCGCTCTCCTGGCCACACTCCACTTCCCACTCTCTCTGGTCCCCCTGCCTGGAGACCTCTGAGAACGAGACTATATATATATGTATTTTTTATTGAAGGAAAGTTGAATTACAGAGCTGTGTTAGTTTCAGGTGTGCAGCAAAGTGATTCAGTTACACATATATATTATTTTTCAGATTCTTTTCCATTATAGGTTATTAGAAAATACTGAATATAATTCCATGTGCTATACAGTGGGACTTTGTTGTGTATCTATTTTTACACATAGTAGTTAGCATCTGCAACTCCCAAGTTCCTAATTTATCCTTTCCCCTTCCTTTCCCTCTTGGTAACAAATTTTCTATAAGTCTGTTTCTGTTTTATAAATAAGTTCATTTGTGTCATACTTAGATTCCACATATATGTGATATCATGTGATATTTGTCTTTCTCTGTCTGATTTATTTCACTTAGGATGATCCTGTCTGGGTCCATCCATGTTGCTGCAAATGGCATTTATTTTATTCCTTTTTATGGCTGAGTAGTATTCCATTGTATAAATACACCACAACTTCTTTATCCAGTCATCTGTTGATGGACATTTAGGTGTTTCCATGTCTTGGCTATTGTAAATAGTGCTGCTATGAACACGGGGGTGCATGTAGCTTTTTGAGTTAGAGTTTCCTTCAGATATATATCCAGGAGTAGGATTGCTAGAAAATAGGATAAGTCTGTTTTTAGTTTTCTAAAGAACCTCCATACTGTTCTCCATAGTGGCTTCACCAGTTTACATTCCCACCAACAGTGTAGGAAGGTTCCCTTTTCTCCACATCCTCTAGCAGCTATTGCGTGTAGACTTTTTGATGATGGCCATTCTGACAGGTGTGAGGTGATACCTTAGTGTAGTTTTGATTTGCGTTTCTCTAATAGTGATATTGAGCATCTTTGCATGTGCCTTTTAGCCATGGGAACGTCTTGGGGAAAGTCTCTGTTTAGATCTTTTGCCCTTTTTTTGTGTGTGCTGTGCACCAGAAATTAACACAACAGCTTTTGCCCATTTTTTTGAATGGGTTGTTCATTTTTTTGTTATCAAGTTGTATGAGCTGTTTGTATATTTTGGAAATTAAGCTCTTGTCGGTCACATTGTTTGCAAATATTTTCTCCTGTCCATAGGTTGTCTTTTCGTCTTATGTTTCCTTTGCTGTGCAAAAGCTTGTAAGTTTCATTAGGCCCCATTTGTTTATTTTTGCTTTTATTTCTTTGGCCTTGGGAGACTGATCTAAGAAGATACTATGATTTATGTGAGAGAATGTTTTGCCTGTGTTCTCTCCTAGGAGATTTATGGTGTCTTGTCTTATATTTAAGTCTGTAAGCCATTTTGAGTTTATTTTTGTGGGTGGTGTGAGGGAGTGTTCTAACTTCATTGATTTGCATGCGGCTGTCCAGCTTTCCCAGCAGTATTTGCTGAAGAGACTGTTTCTTCTCTATTGTATATTCTTGCCTCCATTGTTGAAGATTAATTGATGGCAGGTGTGTGGGTTTATTTCTGGGCTCTCTATTCTGTCCCAATGATCCATGTGTCTGTTTTTATGCCAGTACCACGCTGTTTTGATTACTGTAGCTCTGTAGTTTTGTCTGAAGTCTGGGAGGGTTATGCCTCCAGCTTTGTAGAATGAGAATTAATTCTTGGTGTTGTTTCACCCGTGACCAGCAGTGTCAGCTGGCCTGGGCTCAGCGTCGGTGACCAGGAAGAGTGGTGGGTGAGAATCCGGCAGGCCTCCCGCCCACTAGCCATCTCCTTCACGGGCTCCAGGCCCCTCTGTTCTGAGTATTTCAGGCCACATTTGGGGGCTGTCAGAGCTGAGGGTTTGTATTCAGTTTCCTGTTGCTAAATCACACAACCAGTGCTAGCCACCACTTCCCTCAGCAAAGACACGAACTCTGCCTGAGGTTCTGGTGCAGCAGCAGGAGCCTGGGGAGAACTGACCGTGGCTGCAGAGCACACCTGCCCGTTCCCCCATGAGGTCACAGAGCCCTGCGCCAGGTGACTCTGCCAGCCTGTGTCCTTGCGCGTCATCCCCCAGGGTGTGAGTGGGGGCTGTAGTCTCCCTCCCTCATCTGGGCCCAGCCCTGACCAGACCGGCTCTTCAGTCTCTCAATTTTGGACTAAATAATTTTAGCAAATGCCACCATACACAGAGTGTACAGAAAACAGGTTACTTGTGATAAAACCACCCACTTTGAAAGGGAATAAGGAGAAAGCGTCGTCTGGGCTGCTGGCCAAGCACACATCCCGAGACGTATGGCCTGCAGGGCGGGGAGTCTGAAGGCTGGGACTGTGCCAGGGATGGGCTGCTTGGTTAGGACGTCAGGCAGCCCAAGTCAGCCCTCTGGGATGACTTCTGTCTGTCAGGGCCTCTCTCACGGGCACTGTGGGGTGGTGGCTTCTCTGTTGAGGGGCTCCTATGCCTTCTGGGGTGCTGAGCCACGTCCCTGGCTTCTCCCCACTAGGTGCCAGGAGCACCCCTCCTGGTTGTGACACCAAGTGTTTTCAGGCCACACGTAGCTGGGGCAGACTTGTCCCTGCTGAGAACAGTGCCCTTCAGGCCCCCAAGGGCTGTCACCAGCAGGATTCCGAAGCACAGGGCTGCCTGCTGGTGCTGGTGATTGTCTTGGGAGAGAAGCAGCTCCAAGGACCTGAAGCCTGGCCTGGTGAAGTGGAGTGTGTGTGGCTTCATTTTAATTTTGAATAACTTTTTCATAACCAGTGCCTGTGAGATAGTTTCTTGAACTTCCAAACCCCAAGGCCAGGGCTGGGCCTGCCCAGAAGACCCCTGTTCTTTGGCCCCATCTCAGGGGCCTCTCCCCGTTGCCTGTTGCTCAGCTTAACACCGTGCTTGCTGGGGAGTTGATGGAAATGCCTGTGGACGCCTGTCTGCTCCCGTCTGCCTGGGAATGGCATCCTTGTCTCCAGGCCCGCTCCGCAGGTGTCCTGAGCCTGTCCACTGCAGGCTTCTGAGCGTTTGGCTGCTCTGGTTCAGCTGTCTGGGCTCCTGCCCGTAGATGGAGGGGTTTTCTCTTAGCCTGGTTGGTGCGCTCGCCTTGGTGGCCTTGTACTGAGCCACCTCGTAAGTGTCCCTGTCTCACCGCCCAAGTGGCCCCTGCAGCACCTGTGACAGGAGAGCCCTGTGGAGGCGGCAGTAAGCACCCCGCATTTCAGCGCGGTTTCGCTACCACGTCCCTGAAGCTTTGGTCTAAATGGGCACGTGCCCAGGGGCCAGCGGGGCCTTGTTTAACCAGCTGCTCTGCTCAGCAGTCAGGACCGAGGGCCCCGTCTCAGCCCGCGGCTCCGTCGTCCCTCAACAGCTGTTGCTGCCGCTTCTACTACTCTGAGGAAGGGTCTCTGCCCTTGGAGGTTAGGGGCGTCCAGGGAGTCTGGGCCACAGTGTCATCTCGGGGAGCCCGGGCCTGCGCCTCCCATACCTCTGCTTCAATTTCATCCTGCTCTGCCGCCAACTAGCTTTCTCTGTGTTCCAGGCGATAAAGCTGAGCTGGGGAGTCCCCAGGGCCTGGGGGTTGGTCTCCCCTACTCCCGCGGTCAGGCAGGCTGAGATGGAGGCTTGGGCCTTTTCTGGAGTCACAGGGCAGGACCCTGACCAGCTCTCCTCCAGTCCTCGTCCACTCCTGGGCCCCTGGGTGTGAGGAGCGGGGGACAGGGCGGCAGGCATCTGCTGCACGTGGACTCTGCTCCCGTCGTCACCGCCGCCCTCCAGTGGCGCCTCACGTTGCTGACGGTGCTGTGCTCTCTGAGTCATGCTTCTCTGCCATCTCTTCCAGCGTTCCTGACATGGGCACCGGGGGGCGGCCAGGCCCCCAGCTGTGCTGCAACAGCTGCTGAGCAAGGTGCTCAGAGCACGGGGCTGATCCCAAGGCGGGCAGCTCTGGAGGAAGGTGGAAGCCGTGGAGAGGCTGGGCTGGGACTGCCACAGGGGCCTCCCCTGGCACTGGGGGTTCTGGACCCTCGTGGGAATGAGGATGCTGGAGAGGGGCCCAGGGGCTCCCCTTGGGGACCAGCCGTTTACGAGGAAACTGGAGGGCAGAAGGGCCACAAGACCAGCACATCCAGGTCAGAGGTCACCCTGGACACACGCTCTGCGGCCTGTGGGAGAGGCCCCTGGAAAAGACGGCCTTATCAATGTGGCTCCTGTGACAGGAGCTTCCAGTGCTACTCGGACATGGTGAAGCACCGGAGCATTCACTCCGGGGAGAAGCCCTACGAGTGCAGCGAGTGCGGGAAGGCCTTCATCCACAGCTCGCACGTACTCCGGCACCAGCGCACCCACAGCGGAGAGAAGCCTTATGTTTGTCCAGAGTGTGGGAAGGCCTTCAGCCAGAGCTTCAACCTCATCAGACACCAGAGAACGCACACCGGAGAGAGGCCGTATGAGTGCGCCGAGTGCGGCCGGTCCTTCAGCCAGAGGTCAGACGCGGCGAAGCACCGGAGGATCCACACCGGGGAGAGGCTGTATGCGTGCAGCGAGTGCGGGAAGGCCTTCATCCACAGCTCAAACGTGGTCCGGCACCAGCGGACTCACCACGGGGAGAACCCCTACGCGTGTCCAGAGTGTGGGAAGGCCTTCAGCCAGAGCTCCAACCTCATCCAGCACCAGCGGGTCCACACTGGCGAGAAGCCCTACTCCTGCCAGGAGTGCGGGCGCGCCTTCAGCCGCAGCTCCTTCCTCAGTGAGCACCGGCGCATCCACACCGGGGAGAAGCCCTACGAGTGCGGGGAGTGTGGCCGCGCCTTCAGGGCCCTGTCAGGCTTCTTCCGGCACCAGAGGATCCACACCGGGGAGAAGCCTTTCCGCTGTGCCGAGTGCGGCAGGGCCTTCCGCCTGAGCTTCCACCTTATCCAGCACCAGCGGGTCCACGGCCCAGAGTGAGCCTGGGCGGTCTAGCGGGACAGAAGATTCCGAAAGCAAGATGGGTGGGGAGGTATTGGCGAGGCCCCTCGTTTTTTGGCCACAGCCCTGGGTCTGTGTGCTTACTGCTGCAAGAAGATAGACACTAAAGCCTTCCAGTGGTCAACACCACAGCCCATGTTGGGGGCACTCCTGCCTTCATCCCCTACCACCTGGCCAGGAGCACCAGGAGAGGAACAGGAGCCTGGGGGAAGGCAGCGCCATAGAGGGGACGCAGGTGTTCCCAAGGGAAAGACGTGATGGTGCCAGGTGCCACTGCGTTTCATTCATTTCCATAGCAGTGGCTTTTCTCCTGAAATACAATTTACACACGGTAAAATGCAGCTCTTAAGTGTTGGCTTTGAGTTCTGACAACTATAACCTGCTTTGACCCTGATGAGCACCACGCTGTCAGGACGCAGCCAGCGTCCAGCACTCCAGGAAGCTTCCCCCCGCGCCTTCGGGTCAGCCCCTCACCCTCGGAGGCAGCCAGTGCTCCCGTTTGTTTCTATAGCTTTGCTTTTTCTAGGACTTTATATAAGTGGAGCAATGTAACATACTCTTTTTTGTCTTTTTCCCTTAATGTTTTTGAAGTTTATCCATTATTAGTATTGGGTTTTTTGTTTTTGTTTTTAGCTTCATAGCACTTTGAAAAGGCAAGAGTCATCTTCTGCCTTGTATCAGAGTTGTATGTTTATGTCTGTGTCGTCCTACCAAAGCAATGCTCCTGCAGTGAGAATTCCTTAGCCCGGCCCGGATGCTCCTCTGTGGCGGGCACACCCGTAAGTCCATGAGACGCGCAGGGCCTGGCCAGGGAGGAGGTCCTCGGTCACTGGTTTTCACCCCGCTCTGGAGGATGCAGAACTCTGCTCGGCCTCAGGGAAGCAGGACGAGACAGCAAGTCTGAGACGCTCGTACTCTGAACAGATGTCCCTGAGCCACGCAGGCCCTATGGCCCTGCTGCAGGGGAGGCCGCACCAGTCAAGAGGGCAGGACGGACAAGCGGAGCAGCCAGCAGCAGCACACACGGGGACCAGCAGCACAGGAGAGCGGTGGGCAAGACAGGGCAGGAGGCAGACTGGAAGGAGCGCCTGCAGAGGGCGTTCCTGAGCTGCTCTCAGCAGGCGGACGGCACATGCAGCGCAAAGGCCAGGGCACGCTCGGGGTGTGATGAGGGTAAGAAAAGAGCCTGCTAACAGGGCTGTGCACCTGGCCACGAGCCCCGGGGTCCAGCCCAGGACCCAAATCTGTCTTGGGCCAGCTGCGGTCTGCTGTGGTCATGAGACGTGTCTGCTCCAGCTTCACTCCTGACTGAATTGTCTGGGTCTGGTAGGCAGCTGGGACTTCCAAAAGAGTAGCTCAGTTCTAGGGCTCGTTTCAAGACGTAAGCTCAGGCCACAGGGTTGTGCAGCCTGTAGGGGCAGAGCTACCCTTTGAGTGGATTTAGTGGCACCACAGCTGTTGGGCTGCTGACTCATGGGCCAAGGTGAGGTGGAGGGCAGAGCCTGGGACCCCCATGCTGAGCCAGGATCCTTGGGGGCTAAAGGGCCCCAGATTTGTGGTGCCTCCCAGGTAGCTCTTTGGAGCGAAGATCCCCCTTAGACCCTGCAGTGTCCCTCTCGTGAGATGAAGCAGTGAGTGTGCAGAAATCACCAGGTACACAGGACGGTAAGGCTCACTGCATGAGAGTCAGAGAGCAAAGGAGGATGTAAACCACAAGAAACTGCAGGCAAGGGGGCAGATGTATGTGAAGTGTTTGAACAAGACAGACAGACTTGGGGACAAGAAAGCAGTGAGAGGCTATCAGACACAAAAGGCACGGCTTTTGAAGAACTTTCAGAACTGAAAAATAAAACCATTGAGTTAGAACTCACCAGGCAGGTTCAGTAGCAGGTGTATCGGCTGAAGAAAGCGTCAGTGTGGTAGGAGAAAGATCCAAAGCCCAGGATCCCTCGGGAACAAGGAGAGGGGAAACGTGAAGGGAACGTTCAGAGACGTGTGGGTGTCACAGGAGTCCCCAGAGGAGGAGGGGAGACACAGCAAAGCCCTACACGGACCCCCGTGATGATGCAGGTCGGTTCCCACAGGCCAAGGCTGGTTTCCTGCAGGGTTGAGGGTGGGAGTGGAGGTAGGTCAGGCAGGGGGACAGCAGCGAGCCCATCTGGGGAAGCTGAGTGTCTGCATCCACAGTTTAAACCTCGCTCAGTCTCCCCGTATGCAGGCCAGTGAAACAAGGAGAGAAGGTTGAAGTTGTTACCATGCCCTGGAAGTTCCAGCCATTCTCGAGACCCAGAATCATCGCCTTCAGTGTCTAAGCCAGAGTAGACCACTGCCAACAAGCAGTGCCCGCCTACAGCTGACGCCCAGCCTGGATCAACTCCCATGGCTTCCGGTGGCATCGGTGCCACAACCACAGTGATGTGACTGCACTTTACCCCCTTCAAGTGCTCCAGCAAGCCTTCTCTTTAGTGAAAAGCAAATTCACAGATCCAAGAAGTACAATGTATATGAAGCAGCATAAATTAAGAGAAGTCCACACTTGAGACGCAACAGGGTGAGAGCACTGACCATCAAGACCTTGAGAAGCCAGAGAAAGGCCCCGTCAGTCACACTGTAAGCCTCCTGCTCAAAGCCACCATCAGACGGGACAGCAGTCATGCCTTTGGCATGCTGAGAAAATACCTGTCCACCAAGAACTGGAGGCCCAGCAAAATTATTTTCTATAGATAAGGTAAAAAGCACATTTATAAATAAGTCAAATCTGAGATAGTTTATCCTTAAGCGACTTTCACTGAAAAGACTTCCTAAGTCTGTGATACGGAAGGAGAGTGACTGCAGGATGGTCTTCGACACAAGACGGAGGATCAGTGAGAGCGTGGCCCGAATGCAGCATGAGAGCACGTGGCTAGAAGGGACTTTGATGGTCTGAGAGCCTCCTGTGCTGGGAAGATGCTTTAATTCTAGTCTTTAAATATGCACAGTATAGTTTAACCTTAATTACTAAACGGTGCGTACCTTTCCAACCCAATAGAAAAAATATATATATAGTAGTTTTAAATGAACAAAAACATAACAATTTTAAAAGTAAGAAAAGAGAAGAATCCAGGAAGAAATTGGGCAAATAATCAGAGCAAGATGGCAGAAACCACCCAAACAGGTCCGTAATCACAGTCAACTCAACTAGATGAAATTTCCAGTTAAGACAGTCAGGTGGCAGAGGAGCCTGTGACTCAGAAGCACAGTGTGTGTGAAGATGAAGTAGGCAGAGGCCTGAGGCCATGGGACCCAGGCGCCTCGGGAGATGGACAGGGAATTTGTCCATCAGAAGATAAAACATGTTTCCACAGGAGCAATTCAAAAGTAAGCATCTCAGATACTAAACGTGATCACCAGTTAAAACAAGTTAATAAGAGCGCTGAGAAAATCTTTTTAAATAACCAGCAACACAAGGAGGCGGACAGTAAGGCAGACTAAGACTACCAGGGGTTCTTGGGGAAACAGAAAGCCGAGAATGGTGGGATGGAAAGTACTGGAGAACAGTTTTCCCACAGAACTGAGATGTGAGTCACCAGGGCAGCAGCACCTGCCAGAATCCTCGAGATCAGGAAGGAAGACGGGCTGGGGCAGAGGCGGAGACCTTAGTCGAAGGGAGGGAGAGGGCGGATGCAGAGGACTAGGGGTCGGACCCCAGGGAGCTGATCAGCTGCACCCCAAGCTGGAAGGCAAGGGACAGCACTCTGAAAGTGATGTCACCTCAAAGTTTACACGTGTTGAAGTCAGCAGTCCCACGTGGTGGGGTTAACGCTTTCAGACATGCAGACTCACTAAGTGTTCCCCACTGCTGTTTGTGAAACTTCCAGAGGCTGCAAGAAGAGGGGCCAGGGAGCCCCAGGGACGGACAAGGAGATGCAGAACCTGGTGGTGCTGCGGTGACTGCCCGCTTTCCTTCTCCCTCCTCCACCCACAGCCGCAGCCACTCACTCTCCTTCCTCACGCAAAACATGCTCCCTGAAGGTGCCCCAAGTCCTGTGCAATTGCTGTAGCCCCTCAAAGGTTCTTCTCCTGTATTCTACCTGGTCTGTGTGGACAGGTGCCTCTTAAGCCAGAAACCTGTGCTATAAAGAGAAATGATCTGCCCCCAACCTAGAATTCTTATAACTTTCCCATCCCCTGCCCTCCTCCAGCTCCAGGAACCCTCGGGCAGGCCAGGGGCCAGCTGTGACAGGGACGTCCCTCCGACCCATGTCTGTGATGGTCCCAGTGTGTCCTCAGCCAGGCCTGCATGTCCCCAGCCACTGGGCAGTGCACACCCACCCGACCTTTCCCGGTGGCCCTGTCAAGCCCAGCCTGTGTGCAGTACCGAGGTGGCCTGCCACCACAGCTACCACAGCTCCTGCCTGCCAGGAACTCAGGATGGCCCCACATGCTGCCACTGCTCACTCGGGGACACATGGACTCTTCCTACCCCAGTGGGCCACCGCCTCCCCACTGGGAGGTCAGAGCCTGGAGGGAGAGCCCAGCTGTGGGCATTCGGGCGGCCCATCCCCAGGGACAGGCTCAGATGGTCATTGGGGCCCTGCTATCCCATGTGTTCAGAGAAAGAGGTTCAGCATGTCTGAGGGGTCCCTGCCCAGTGCTGGGACAGAGTGGGAGTGAGGGACAGTGCAACCCTTCCCCAAGTCAGGGCCTGGGATCTGGGATCCCGCCCGCTGGCCCTGCAGCCCAATGCAGTGAGCCGGGCTCTACGGACAGGCACAGGCAGGCACACAGCCACACCAGCTCCCAGCCAGGCCGAGTGGGCACAGCCTCCAGCCCGTCCCTCTGCAGAAACCCTGAAAAAGGGCACCAGGTGGGGGAGGGGACACATTTCAAAGCACAGGGCATGGGCATCAGCCACCTCCTGTGCAATGACACAGAACACACTTGCAGTGAAATTTTCTTAAAACAAAATTCCCCAATCTGCTTTAATAGTGAAAAAAAAAAAGTTCCAACGAGGCAGAGAGATGCTTGTTAGAATTCAAAGTCTTCATCTGCCATGTCGAGAGCCCAGGTGGACTTCTCCCTCTGCGTCTTGTTGTAAGTCTCCACGGGCACCCCAAACCTCTTACACTTGCCGGGAGGGGCAGGAAGGCGGCCAGGACATGGCCAAAAGCCCAGGGGCATCAGGGAGGGGGCAGCTTCCCCCAGCGCAGCCCTGTGTCCTCCCAGTGGGGCTCGCAGGGAACACTGACTGGGCACACAGGCAGCCCAGCTACCGCACCCCCAGGGGGTGGGCAGCTTGGGAACAGATCTGGGTCACCACACCACACTGGGCAGTGGTCCCCGCCCCACCCCAGCCCTCCTCTTACCCCAGGCTCTCAGGCAGAGAGGACTGACGACACAGGGCTTGGCCTCAGATGTGCCAGCCAGTTGTGTTCCTGTCACAGGAGAACCTGCACTGCACAGGACTGGACTGGGGCCACCTGGGGAGTCCAGACCCCTCCTCAAGACTGCGAGCAGGCAGGGTGACCTGGGTCCACGCACCAGGCAATGCTGATCTGAGGGTCTAGGCAGTTGAGCTTGGACGTGCCCAGGGCCACCTGCTGCTCTCCTTCTTGTCCATGGCCTGTGTGCTCAGCCTCAGGAGCCGCTCCTCCAGTCTCTCCAGCAGCCGCCCCCTCTTCTCCAGGAAGCTAGGGAAGGAGAGGTGCTGGCACCACAGCTCTCCCTCATCCCCTAGGCAAGTTCCAGGAGGCCAGGACACAGGGAAGGCTGCCCTCAGCATGAAGGGACCGTCCAGCCTTGACGTCACAGGAAATCACGTATGAAACACACACAGGCTACAACCAAAGAGAGCAGAGCACAGAACCAAGCAGAAGAGCTGCCCTGTGTCAGAAAGATGCTCAGCCCTCATTCCTGATGTTTCACAGAAAAGCCGGTTTATTAAAGCCAGACCCTCCCTCCACCCTCCACGCTGGATACAGTGCCCCGCCCACAGACCCCAAGCCCACATGCACATGAACTGCAACCTTGGTCCTTCTCCCGGGAACTCGGGCTCCAAATCCACCTGGACACAGGTAGAAGGCCTGGAGCAGCCCCAGCGGACATGCAGCAGAGCGCAGGGGACTCACGCGTCCTGACTTCAGCTTAGCGGAATCGAGACCAGCGTGAGGACTGACAGACCAACAGAACAGAGCCCGGGAATAAACCAAAACATCTACCATCAGCTCACTTTTCACGGGGCCAGGACCATTCGATGCCCAAAGGATGGTCCTTTCAGCAAATGATGCTGGGAACACTGGCTGGCCACACACAAACGGACACATTCAGGCCCTTACCTTACACCATGTACAAAAACTGGCTCAAAAGGGATCAGCTTCCTAAATGCAAAAGTTGAAATGATAAAACTCTTACGAGAAGACCTAAGAATGTATCTTTACAATGTTGGGTCAGACAAGGCAGCAACAACAAAAACTAGACTCATCGAGAGTTTTACGTTTTGCGCTTGGAGGGATACCACCAAGGAAGTAAAAGGACAACACGGGACGGGAAAACGCACCTTCAGATCAGCATCTGAAAAGGTATTTGCGTCTGGGATGAATAATGGGCTCTTACAACTCAGCAGTAAAAAGACAGGGACACAAGTGAAAAACAGACAAGGGGCGGAACAGACATTTCTCCAGAGAAGACCCACAAGTGGCCAGCGAGCATAGGTCACCAGCCATCGGGGAAGCGCAAACTCCGCCCGCACTGAGACGCTGCCTCACACGCCGCCTCACACCAGCAGGGCTATAGCCAGAGAGGGAAAGGGGAAGGGAGACATGGGAACCTCTGTGCACGGCCGGCGAGACGAGCGCTGGTACACCCACCGCGGAGAACAGCCTGGCGCTACCAAGTGACCCAACAATTCCACTCCTTGAAAACCACAAAAATCACCGAAGCCACAAAAGTCATGCACAAAGAAAGTCACCAAAAACCCCCAAAACCCCACAAAAGTCACAAAGGGGAAACACCAGATGTCCAGATACAGGGACAGTAAAAGGTGGTCTAGCCACACGACAGGATAGCTGACAGTCAAAAGGAGTGACGTCTGGACAGGCTGCATTACGGGGACCTTGGTGGCATCACACTAACAAAAGCCGAAGTCCACAGACGGTGGGTCCCATCTGGGTCAGGCACTGCAGGTGTTCAAGGCTGAGGGCACGGGAGGTCTGAGTCAGGACACAGGGTTTGTCGCAGGTGATGGAGAGGCTCTAAAATCGGGAGCAGCCATGGCCGCACAGCCACTCGCCCACAGGCTGTAAACAGTGTCCACCAGCCCTGGAGCTCGGCCACCAGGCACAGGCTGACCACCCGGTGAGGCCCACATTTGTCTCGTGCACTTCACAGTGCTCTGCTCTTTGACTCAAATGAGGCGGTCTGTATTTTTTTCAATCACAAAATATGACTAAGAAAACCAGAGAACTGGTGAAGGAAAAGCAGGTTCACAGCCACCCCAACTGGGACGGGCTGGGCTCTCCGACACTCGCCTCCTGGATCTGCTGTCCCCGCTGGCTCTGTGGTCAGCCCTTGCCTTCTCCAGCTCTGCCTTGGCCTCCCCACCTGCTGCTTCTTTGCCTCGATCTGCAGAGGGGGCCCAGTCAGGGCTGCTCCTGCCCCACCCAGTCAGGGTGCTGAGTGCTAGCCCTGATCGGCCACTCCTTGGCCAGGGGACAGGGTGAGGCCAAGAGGTCCCAGACATACCCCCTGCTCCACTGACCTCCTTCCTGGACTAGAGGCCTTTGCTCACCAGAAAGGCCACATCCTTACCCACTCCCTCCCCTCAGGGAAACCGCCTCCCAGCCAGCACCTGGCCTGGGCAGCCCTGATTGCTCAAGCACCTCTGAGGGCCATGTAGCCCCAGCGAGGCTGGCACCCAGAGGCCCTCCCACTGTGAGCAGCTGGCCAGGCCAACTGTGCACCTTCAACCAGAGTCTGCACTGACTTCTTGAAGGTCTTGGGAGTTGCCCGCTGATGGTTGCAGAGAACAGCAACAGCCCGGTTCGCACGGTTATAAGACAGGATCTTATGGGCTACGCTGTCTTCAGCTGAGAAGCAGGTGTGTGTTGGGAGCAGCAGGCACTGGGCAAGTCACTGCGGGAGCCCCGCCCCGTGTCAGGAGGGGCCTCGGTCAGTACCCGGTCCAAGGAGTCCACACAGGGCGGAGCTGGGGCCTCCCCAGAACCCCCCCACCCTGGCACGAGCTCAGTAGGACAGCGTCAAGGAGCCCCCACCAAGGGGCCCAGAGGTCGGGTGAGCTTGGGCAGCTGGGCAGTGGTGAGGAGGGTCCCGCACATGAGGAGGGACACGCAGAGCTGGGTTGGTGCTTCACAGGTGACTGCAGAGGAGAAGACACAGCCTGGGCAGGGGCCTGACTGACTGCGGGGCTGACGCGTGGAGAAGGGGGTGCTCAGCAGGGGTGGCCGAGCAAGGAGCAGCAAGCCCTGGGGGAAGGCTCAGCCTCAGGTCCTGAGGGCCCCTCCCCCTTCCTGCTGGGCTCAAACCTGGACCGTCCCTTTTGGGCCAGGCAAGCCCCACTCTGCCCCTAGACACCGGCCACAATACATCCTCCGACCAACCAAGCAGCCAGGCACCAGCCCCAGGCTGGGGACCCACTCACCTCTGGTCAGTGCCCGCAGCTGCCCCTGCAAGGTTGACGCTGGCATTGTAGGTCCGGAACACCTTGGCCATCAGGCCGTCCATCAGGTCCTGCAGGTGCTTGTTCAGGCTGGCAGTACGCACACGCCGGGAAGATGGGTCTCAAAACGTGTTCCTTTAGGGCAGCTCCACAACACTTCCCAGCACCCTGACCACGCCACCAGAGGGGCTTTAGCCGGTGGTCAGACAGATGGCCCTCAGCCTTCCTATTGCAGACTCAACGCTCACACTCGCCCCAGCTCATCTGACTGACCATTCTGGACACAAATGGGCTGAGCTGCGCTGGCAGTCCCTGGGTCACCCCATCAGCACTGCCCTGAGGCCCCGGGGCTTACAGTCAGTCTGTCGAAGAGCTCATCCCCAGGCTCCTTGTTCTCCACGAACAGCTGCAGATTCTTGTACACCTGTGGCAGGAAGAGGAACCCCTTAGAAAGACCCGACTGGCCCACAGGCAGAAGCAGCCTCTCCTGGGCGCCCAAGGGGCGTCTGCATTCGGAGGACAGGGATCAGGCTCCTCCCAGGGAGGTGGTCTGCGCACCTCGGAGTGTCCAGGCTGTGGAGAAGAGGCTGCACCCTCTCCCCCTGCACACCTGCCCCTTCCTCCAGGTGACCCCAAGTCTGCAGTCAGACCTGCCTGACACTGCAGGGCCTCAGAGGACCCTCCCCTGACCTGCACAGGCCAGTCCTACTGCGAGAAGGCTCTCGGCGGCCATGCTGCACATCCACTTTCAAGTCAGTCCTTTGAGGGGAGCACAAACGTCCTCCCGGCTCCCCTCTGCCTGGGCCCCTCTTGGCAGCCAGCTCCGCATGTGCCCCACCAGGCTGGACACCAAGTGCCCAGCTACAGAGTGACCAGCATAGCTCCTTCAGCACCATGTCCCCTAACTTTCCTGAACCGAGTGGCTTAGTGCCTTAGGAAAGTGCTCCACCATCCTCTGCCCAGTGAGGACAGCGAGGAGGCCCGGCCACCCCAGGGAGGGGCCTCACCTGCTCACAGCCCTGTGGTTCCCTGACCCCAGCCTCCAGCCTCCAGCCTCCAGCCTGAGACATAAGTGCCCATTTGTGAGGCTCCCAGTCTGAGCAGCCAAAACTCAGACACCTGACAAGGCTCCTCTGCTACTCAACTCCTCCCGCCCCGCAGCAGGCCCAGCGGCTCCCTACTCATTCACACCCTTGATCAGATTTCAGAGGCCCAGTCACGCTGGGCACTCTGGGGCGCAGGGTGCTCCCGCCTGAGTGGATGTTTCTGTCACCTTCGACAGTCTCCCTAAACTTCCCGTTCTGTGTTCCGGAGGCCATGTCTGCCTATGAAGTGCATGTAAGTTGCCAGCAGTCAATACTGGGCCCACCCTCACTGCTGTGACATGGTGCCCACCCAGACTGGGGCTGGGAGACTGTCATTCTGGGGCTCACCACTCCAGAAGGGGGGTGTTCCCCAAATTCTGATTTCCCTTCAGACCCCTCTGCAAACCAACGGGGGCCAGGTAGGTGTCAGCACAGCAGCCAGCCAGCAGGCTTGACCCCGAACCTCACCATTCAGAGACCCGGGACACCGCCAGAGTTACCACTGCGAGCCGCGTGCCCAGTGGGCCAGAAGACCCTTTCCAGGTGTGCTGGGGTGAAGAGTGTCCCCCTAAATTCACATCTTTCCCAGAACCTCAGAAGGTGACTTTTGGAAATAGTCTTTGCAGATGCCATTAACTAAGACGAGGTCGCCGTTGGGTAGGGTGGGACCTAATCCAATACAACTGAATCCTTGTGAGAGACAGACACACGGAGGAAGATGGCCAGTGGGGAGCAGACACTGTGGTGATGCAGCCTCAAGCCCAGAGACTGAAGGTCACCACCACCTCCAGACACCTGGAAGGGTTCTCCCCAGAACTGCAGAGGGCGCACGGCCCTGTCACCTCCTGCTCTCGGAATCCAGGCCTCCAGAAGGACATGTTGTGGCCCAATTACAGCAGCCACCCTAACCCACCAGGAGAGCAGTGACGCTGGTGCCTAGGAAGGCGGGTTCAGTCCAGCCTAGGGGCGTGACTCCCCATGCACACTGACTCACCCCAGCAAGGCCTCCCTCCCTGCCACACAGGATGGGACAGACAGTGAGCTGGGACAGACAGGCTACAAGTCTCTGCCCACAGCTACCACGGGAAGACTACAGAAACCACTACCACCTTCACCACCCACACCGGCACTGACAGGCTTCCCTACTGGCACTCAGTTGTGGTAGTGGATCGAGTCCTTCCCCAGGAAGTCGAACATCACAACGTATGGGCAGCTGTCAGCCTCCAGGTGCAGCTGGACGTGCTCCACGCGGAGGGAGCAGCAGCCCACCGCGTCCGCCATCTCGCCCTCCTCCTTCTCATGCCCGGCTCGCAGCGGCAGCCGGGGGGCAGGGCCGGGCACACACGGCAGGTGCACAGGCAGGCAAGTACCACACACACACATGCATATGGACACATACACACATGTAACTGGCGTGCACACACAGGCCCTTTCACCTGCCCAAGGCTCTGGCTGGGGACACAGAAGCCCCGCCGTCCCCTCCGCTGCCCTGCCTGCCCAACCAGGTCTGTGCAACCGACAGAGCCTCTGGGACCCCACACCTTGTCGATGAAATAAAGGGCCACGGCACGTCTCGCTTTCATCTCGTGAGACTTCCAGTCGGCCCAGTAGTGAGAACGGATCTTGCCCACCACCCCTTTCAGGCGCCGAGCCACCTCGTACTTTTCCCAGTCTCTCTCCCTCCTAAGTGAAGAGAACAAGTAGCAAAGAAATGCACAGCACTCCTGCCAACAGGGAACTGCCGACCCTCGGCCCAGCCCGCTCTCACCTTCGCGGCCCAGGGCCGGGAGCAGACACCAAACTCAGTGAGGCTTACGGTGGATGTAAATGTAATTCCTTGCTTTTAAAGACAAATGGCCACTGGACACAATATGATTTCAAAATTGGCTTGTTCACGCCTACGATCTGAGAGAACCCCTGCCAAAGCGCCCGGCCTGAGCTGAGGGAGGGGCTCCCGGGGGCAGCACAGGCCGAGCTGGGCTCACCTTCAGCTTGGAGCTGGGTTTCAGCATGATGTACTTGGTGGAGTTCTGGACGTTCTCCGTCCACGCCGCCAGCCACGTGACCGTGCGGTTGGTGACCTGCCGGGGGCTTGGGTATTCTTGAGTCCCTGCAGCAGGAAAGTGACCCAAACCCAGCAGTTCAAGACCCTGCTCCCTGAAACGTGAGCCAGGCGCCCCCACCTCCCATGCTGTGCTGGCCTAGGCACAGGGGCCCAGCGTTGGCCAGGGTCAGCCCGAGTCTGTTCGAGCACTGCCTCCTCGCCTCTTAGCTCCTGCTTCGCAGGCATGACAGGCCTGTTCAGGGCGGCCCCCATGTGTGGAGGCCAGGGTGGCCATCCCCAGGGCCACATGCATCTCAGGAGTCTCAGCAGCTCCTGGGACACCTCCGCTGACCCCGCCAGGCAGCATCCACGCAGCAGAGGGACAGAAGCTCCTGCTGGAGCACAGCCCGCCAGCACAAGCAGGAACTCTCTTCCCACACGTTCCAGACACTCGCGTGTTACTAGATTATCCCAGGAACTTGAAATGCGGAAAACTGTCGAGAGCATGCAGACACTCTCCTGCTGGGGTAAAACTCCAGCCGGGGGCAGAGTGGTGAGGGCTGGTTCAGCTAACAGCACACAGGCTGCAGCACAGGCGTCCACCCTGGGGAGAGGCGCCCTCCCGCCCAGCCCTCAGAGCCCTGCGTAACAGCAACACACTCGGCAACAGGCCCCCCGCCCCCGGTGAGGAGCAGGGTTGCACGCGAGTGGCCTGCACACACCCACTGCAGCTGATGGTCACGCCCTCCAGCATGACCCTCCTCTTCAGCATCCCCATCTCAGGGTGGTTGCCACGGCCCCGGAACAGCCCTGGGGGCTCAGTCTTAAAACTGCCCATCTTCTCTCGGTGCCTAAAATACAGTAGCCAAACTCTGGCTGAAGCTCCTCAGCCTCTTCTTTGAGCCACAGATGTTAGTGGTAGGGGGACAGGGTGGGCCTGATGCCCCAGTGTGCTGGGTTAGCCGGGCTCGGGAGCCCCGTGAGGACCGGCAGGCCAAGGGCTGGGCAGGTGCCCAGTCCCTGTGGTCTGGGCACTTACACCACGGAGAGTGAACTGATCCTCCCACTGTATCACACGGCAGGTTCCCTTCCCACGTGCCCTGGGTAGACCCAGCATTTTTAAACACATTGAGATGCACGTAACTTGGAAGTGTCCGAGACCACGATGGGGCCAGATCAGAGGCCCCTCCACCACATCTCCGCGGCTCAACCAGAAGAATCCCACAGGGATGGCGATCCTGACAGGATGGGGTCTTCGGCTCCGGCCCCACGCACACCAGCAGCCTCCCACTGCGGCCCGGGAGCCCAGGCCAGACTGGGCCCTGCACAGCCTGACCTGCTTCTCCTCCCTGGACAGGGCTTTCCGGGCGGCGGTCCTGTCCGCAAAGTACCTGTGGATCTCAGTGAAGTCACAGTTGTCCAGGCGCTGGATTACTTTCCTCTCTTATGCCGTCATCTCCTGCACCAGAGCCAGACATGCCTCTCAGCTCTATTGTGGGCATTGGGGACCTCCCCACCACAGCCAGGCCCTCCACGGGACACGGTGACATCGCAGAAGCCAGAGGAACAGAACTGAGTGCACCAAGTCCATCCGGTCCAGCAGCCTTTGTAGTTGTCTCCCAGAGGATGGCCTTTCCAGCAGGTGGCCAGGTCCCAGTGGCCTTCTGAGTTGGGCCACACAGCCACATCTGAAGACCAGCCCCACTGGCTGCCGTGGGGCCTGCAGACCATGTCCAGCACCGAGGGGTCCTCAGTCACTCTTCAGGAAGATGACCTGCCACTCCCCACACAGTAGGAGCGCACACGACAGCCACACTGCAGAATTGCTGGGTGGTCCCCAACCCAGCCATACGTGTAGCCCATGACCCCACCATCCTGCCCTCAGTCCCTGCAGAGGGGTGGGCACACAGCCACATGACCCCTTGTCAGAACCCTAGTGCCCGTCAGCAGAGAAGTGGACACGTGCTGTGCTGGCGTCCTGCTGAGAGCAGCCCTGAAGGGGCCTGGGGCATGCCTTCTCCAGCCAAGTCCACAGGTATAGACAAGGTGGGTGCAGATGCGCACATAACCCAGTTTTTTTAAATGAGAAAAAACTAGTTAACTATAACCTTATCTTCAAAGAGCTTCCCAACAAATGTTTGTTTCCTGGGAGCCTAAAATTACCCCTCCCGGCCCCCTATGGCAGGCAGGCGACTGCCAGCCCCAGGCCAAGCTGTGAAATGGGGCCACTGAGAAACTGAGGCCATGTAGCACTCACCTTCCGCCAGCCACTGAAGAAGTTGTTCTGGAAAACTTCCTTTGCTGTGCACTCGTGATCCAACATTTTCCCATAAAACGTGGTGACCTCCTCTGCTGCTAAACTCAACTTGACAGGCTTTCCTGGAGGCATCAGGAGACACATGGTTCAGGGAGCTGGCACAGTTTGCCCTCCAGCACACAGAATTCTGCTCTTTAAATCACAGTTACACATGCTGCCAAGAGCAAGGAATTCTGACTTTAATCAAGAAGCACGTTCTCAATTTAAGAAAACGACAACACTTGTGAACACTTGCTACACAGGTGTTCACCCCGGATTATGGGCTGGGCCCCGTGGAAAGTGCCAGCGGCCACAACTGCTCACACGTGTCCTGCTTTAACACTGTTTTGCTAGTGTGCTCATGTGGAAGCTTACAGCTCAACAACACGTGCAGTTTTAGAACACGCATCACCACATAATTATAGAAGCAGAACAACAGTTAAGGTTTTAAAGCAAAAACGTGTGAACTGTAGGAGCTGCGCCCTCGTTTGCCCAGCTGCTTTCAACATTTCATTCCAAGGATGGGCGTGTATTAGAGGCGGCTCAACGGAGAGCAGGTGGTCCAGCAAAGCAGGGTGAAAGCCGATGTGGGTGAGGGGGGTTCACCATGGAGTGCTCTCAACTGCTGTGTTTGAAAATATTCGTAACAAAATGTTGGAAACGTAACTATGCAGTCGTTTGGTAACAAGGAAAAGGGCATTTGTGATAAAACAGCAGTTCTTCCCAAAACTAGCTTCTCGGGAGAACAGAGAACTGGGGCAGCAGCCAAGGCCCGAGGGGCTCAGCTCCTGCCCTGTGAGCCCCTCCCCACGCAGGGCCACCCAGGCCGCCCACTCCCCACTCCTGTCCCAGGCCGCGAGCTGCCCTCTGGAGCGGCGGAGGCAGTGGGGCCTGTGCCTACCAGGCACCCATGCAGCGCAGGGCACCTTCAGAAGCCTTGCTCAAGCACGGACGCAGCAAGTGGGGGGAAACGGGCCAAACTAGCAGCACAAAACCAAGCAGAAGCTCCTGCCCAAGGGGTGGAGAGGATGAGGGCCGAGGCAGGGCAGTGAGGGCAGGTGATTTGGCACCCACAGGCCCGCAGTAACCCGCTCAGTTGCTTGTTAGGAAGTGAATGTGGGAGCCCACAGGCAACGTGCTCCAATACCCAGGGGCCCAGAGACTCAGGCCCTCACCCAGAGGGCCAGTCCCCAAGGCAGGGCCACGGGGGCACAGCAGGAAGGCAAGGGTGGAAGAACCCAGCTGGGTAAGTTGGAGCACACCACCTGGTCCGTCTTGCGCTGCATGCATCCCCGCCCCCAGCAGCCCTTGGAAACTCCGCACTCCCAGGGTTCTGGGGGGCGCCAGGCTGCAGCTGCTGGAGCACAGAGGCCCCGTGATCTCTCCAGGAACCTCGGGACTGCAGACTTGGAGGCTGCCTAGCCTGGATCCTGAGCAAAGGTCAACTGTCCCCCAGGTGCACAGGCCTCCCAGACTTCCGTGGGCCAGCTCCCCCAGGGCGCCGAGGTGGGAGAGCCTCCGAGGGAGCAGGAGGCCCAGGGGACCACTAGTCACGGGGTGCAGAGGCGGCTCCTTGGCCCCTGGTCCCTCGGGCCTCGGGGAGCTGTTCTCACCGCTGTAGTAGAAGCGAACTCCAGCAGGAAGGGGCTCGGACGGGGACGCAAAGCACGGTCCTCTGTGCTCCAACTGCATCCACTTCATGCCGCCTGGTCTATTCTCTTCCCACCTGGAGGACCCACAAGAAGGCTTCTTCTCTCACTCCGCACCTGCGCACCGCAGGCCTTCGGGCACGAGTCCCTAGTGGAGGCCTGTGACTCCACCTCCTAGCTAAGCCAGTGAGAAGCAGGCGGGGTCATCCACGAGGGGCGGGGCGCCAGGACTAACCTGCCCAAGCTCAAACCACACCTCCTGGGCAGGGAGTCTCCCCAAGCTGGGTGCCTTCAGGGCTGCTCCAGAGCCCCCGCCTGTCTCTAGAGGACACCCCCTACCCAGCCCTTCCAGGAGCCAGAGACGTGTGCCCTGTGACCATTTTTTTCCTAAACAAAGGCCTAGCTGCAGCCCTGCCTCCCAGGAGCCAGGCTGAATGGGAGGTGGGCAGAGCTGCCTATGAGGAGAGGGGTGGCCAGGACCACAGGGGCCCGGGTCAGCCCACAGAGGACAGGGACGGAGCAGACATAGCAGCAGAGAGGAGGCCCAGGGGTGCGAGTCTTGGGGACCCTAGGGAGGGATTTGGTATTGGTTGTAGGTCTTGTGTGGCCCCACATCCCCATGAGCCTGGCCAAGATCCCCGCCCCTACCTGTCCCCAGAGCTTCCTGAGGCAGCACAGGAAGGCCTGACTCCCCGTGACCCTGTCACCTACCCCCTGGCCCCAGAGCTCTCCCAAGGGGCTGCCCTGGACCAGTGCTTGCTGGGTCCTGGGACACAGATGACCATCAAGCCCCTTCCCAAGGAACTGAGGCGAGTGAGGAGGTGAGTTCAGACAGACGCTTGTCTTGGCAAAGATGGAAGGGTAGAGGGGTGGCTGGCAGTGGGGCGGGCAGGGTTTCTGCCGGTTAAGTTCTACTGGTAGAGCCAGGAGAAAAGCAACTCCCAGCAGAAGGAAAAGCAGGTGCAGAGGCCCTGGGACGGCAAAGGCCTCGGCCTGGCAGAGCTGCCAGCACGGGGAGCCTGCTGGGCCTTCCCCAACCGCCAGGCACTGCTCTCGGCATCGGCACCATGAGGCAGGAGACCTGCCGGGCTCAGGCTGCCTGGGCAAGGTGGGCCCAGGAGACTCACTTCAGCCTGTGCTACTCAGGTGAGTACCCTAGAGCTACAGGAAGCCCCCCAGGGCTTGAGGAAGGAAGGGACAAGCGAGACAGACATCTATGAGAAGACCCTGCCAGCTGTTTCTGCAAGGAGGGTTGGGGCCACACAGGAACAGGAGCAGAGGGGCTGCATTTAGGTGGAGCCCGTGACTGGGGGGAAGTCAAGTAGTTTAAGAATGTTCTGGGGTGGAATCAAGGGGCTCTGGTGATAAGGCGGGAGCACCCCGCAGCAGAGGCGGAGGGGGCGGGAGGGCCTGTGCCCAACGTGGAGCAGGCACCATGCATCTCACTGGTTTTAGGACGTCATCCTGCTGAACTGTTCCAGCAGACCTAGGGTAGTGCTAACGGTAGGGTGAGTGATTAATAACAAGAACGTAAACTACAACAGTACTTTCTTTCTGAATCAAGGGAAGACACATCCTGTTTTAGATGTCAGAAATGTGACAAAACACAGATCTCAGGTCTGACTGGCGGTCAGTAGGTGCTGGGCAGCGGGCTGAGCTTCTCACCAAAACCTCTGGCAGATGCTACCATCATCCCTACTACAGACAAGGAGCTGAGGTCAAGGTCTAGCAACTCACCGGCCACTAGCTGACCTGGGCCTGCCGTGGCGCTCAGCAGAGCCCTGCATGTTGCAGGGAGCCCCGCCCCTCAGCATCAGCCCCGCCCCTTCATGATCTGCCCCCAGCCCTCACCGCAGGGCCAGGAGGGTCCAGAAGGCCCCAACCCTGCGCACTTGGCCTGTTGTCCCTCCACAGATCGCGATACCAAGCACTGCCA